ACTTCCCAAAGTCTTATGGCGATGAGAAACATCTTCATCTTGTAGGCCCAATCGGTGTATCTTGTTCCATCGAAGTAAGGTGGCTTGCCATGGTATCTTGTACCTTTTATGAGTTATCCTTAGTCAAACCCAATACTTGAGTAAACTCACTTTCCTTGAACATTGTCATTTGCTGCCCCAACATCACTTGCGTTGTCTTTGGTTGCATCATTCTTGCCACTAATGGCGTCTTCAACTTTCTTGCTCAACTCTTCCTTCATCTTGCTCATTTCATCTTGCATCTTCTTCATTTTATCTTGGAAGAACCTTGCTTGCTCAGCCATCAACTCTTTTTCAATTTGCTTGGCCATCTCGGTGGCATCGGCTTTCATCTTTTTGGTGTTCAACATTGTTTCTTCTCATGAGGTGAAGCGCTAAATGAAGATCTTGCTTTGATACCAATTGAAAGGATCTAAACAATGCCTAGAGGGGGGGGTGAATTGGCGTATCTAAAAATTTCTGCGTAATCTCAAAGTCAAATATCAGTAACAGTTGGAAGTCCTGACAGTTTGGGTCAGAACTTCCGGCAGCCGGAAGAGTTCTGATGCAAACAGCCGGGAGTTCCAGCACCTATGAGAATTTCACTACAAGTGCTAAAATAAACTTTGAGTGTGAGATATCTTAAACCCCACTTCCAAGTGGTTAGGTAGACATGTAGGATCACTCCCTTGACGCCGAAACGCTCCTACTCCATAGATCGAGTCCAAACCCTAAGAAGAGAGTTGGGAAGGAAGAGAAGCCAACAAGAACAAATATGATAGCATAAATCTCAACAACAACAAGCACGAGGGACACAAGAATTTATCCCAAGATTTGGCAACCCCATAAAGGAGCTCCTACGTCCTCGTTGTTGAGGTGACCACAAAGGTCGAAGTCTCTTCCACCTTCTTGCCTCTCTCAAAGCAACCACAAAAGTCACTCGAGCTTTCCACTAAGAAATCGAGGGTAATACAAACTTTCCAAGGCTCTTCCATAAGATGAAAGCTCTTGGGCGACACCTAGCGGCCTAGGAGCAAAGTTCCAAGAGTAATAGATGCAAATACAACCGGCTTGACGAAGAACTCAAGTGCTCAAGCTTGCCAAAGTGATTATCTCACTCAATCCACTCTTCTTTCACTCAAAAGCATAGGGGAATCGAAGATTGGAGCAAAGGGGAGAGGAGAGGGGTGCCTTGAATGCTTAGGAGCTGTTTTGAACGAAGGTTGGTGATCAATAAATGAGTGGGTAACGGTTAGAAGATAGGAGAGTGCTATTTATACACATAAGCAAATCCATCCGTTCAGATCTGTGTCGAAAGTCACTGAGACTTTTGGCTCTACTGTAGAACACTGTTCACGCGCAGTCAACTAAGCTAGCTTGGTTATCGTTGGAACTCTCGGTGACTGCCGGGACTTCCGGCTTCCATCGGGACTTCCAACAGACAAGCGAGCCAGGCGGCTAAGTCCAAAGGCGGCGGGACTTCCGACTGCTAGGACTTTTGGCTCGCGCCGGGACTTCCAACAGGTAGCCAAGCCTGGCGGCTAAGTCTAAGAGCGCCGGGACTTCTGGCGGGAGTCGGGACTTCCGGCTCGCGCCGGGACTTCCAGCAACCAAAAGTCCACAAACTAAATCTAGGTGTTCGTGAGGTAATTAAGTATCACTCTTTTAATTTTATTTTTATGCTTGAGCACTCTATCTTCCTCAGACCACCGAAACTTGTATCTCTCTTTATAGTACAGCAAAACCTAAACTCAAAATAAGGATAAAACTTTGGAGAGCGCTTTGAGTTCTTCCACCTTTTTAACACCAAGAATTGAGGGATACCATTTAATCTTAGAGCAACTCTTTAAAAATTTCATGGAACTAAAGCTGCAATATATCTCATTACGACCTCATTAGTCTCTAATTTGGATGTCATCAATATACCAAAACCCACATATGGGGTAATTGCACTTTCAATATAGCCATTATAACATGTGCAACATCCTGATCTACTGTTGCAACATCGATATACAATACATCTGAAACATCTGAAACACTTAATACATACTATTGCAACATGCGCTTCCAGCATAGCATCTACTTGCTACGAATGGAGCCTTGTTGACACGGAGCTCGATGCCGCGTAGTGGCGCGGAGGTCACCGGTTTGGAGCTTATCGGTGGCATAGACCTCGGTAGGGGCGGGGGCAGGTGGATGGAGCGCAGCCGTGATGGGATGTGCGAGTCCGGGCGGGGGCGCCCGGCTTGGGCGGGCGGCGGGGACGTAGGTGGGGCCACGCGGCGCGAGTGGGGGCAGCGTCACCGAGGGCGGGGTCCGTCCTGGGGCAGAGGCGCGCAGCGCATTGAGCGAACAGGAGACGCGGGCGGGGGCGGCGCGGGCGAGGCGCACAACGAGCGGGCGACTTATACGGGGTTTGCAACATATCTCAAAAACATCTAAAATACTTACAAACATACTATTGCAAATGCGCTTTCAGCGTAACATCTGCTTGCTGCTTGAACGTGGACCTCGGCTGGGGTAGAGGCAGGCAGATGTAGCGTGTTTGCGACGGGAGACGTGAGTTCAGGCGGGGGCACGCAGCGCGGGCGGGCGGCGGGGAGCGGGTGGGGCCACGCGGCACGAGCGATACCGATCCTCGATTGTGTGTTTTTCTTTTTTGAGCAACAATATTCTCTCTCTCTCTCTCTCTCTGAGAATGGAGCAACAATATTCTCAGATTGTGTACGGGTGGATTTAAAGGGGGCTGCAGGCCAGCCCTGGTTGTGGGCCAAATATTTTAGGAGCAGGTCTCCAGACTCAGCCCAGTAGCCTCTTCACGGCCCAACTCGCGGCCTTTCCCAACCCTAGCCAGGACAAGCAGCCCTCTCGAGTCTGACTCCGCACCCCGTCCGCGTCCGACGCTCGTACTCCCAGCTCTCCCTGTCCTTCTCAAAAAAAAAAAAAAAAAAAAAAGCTCTCCCTGTCGCTGTCCGCCGCGGCGCCGCCCCTTCTCCTTCTTGGCTCCTCTTTGATCTCCTCCCCAAGCGGCCAAGTCGGCAAGCCGCCTCCTGCCGGCTGCCCTCCTCCGCGGCCCGGCCGTCAGCCACGGCCAGCAGCACCCAGCAGGCTCCTCACGCGCCGCGCCCAGGCCGGCTGACCGCCCCCGCGAGCCGCGGCCCGCGGTCCCGCCCGGCCGCTCTCCTCGCAGCCTCGTCCACGTCTAGTAGGCAGCACCGCAGCAGGCAGCCAGGCCGGCGGCCGCCAGGCCTGAGACGCCCAGGCTCCTGCTACCGACTGGCCGGCTGCCCCCCTGCTCCTGGCTCCTGCAGTCCTGCATCTGTCATCTGTGCTGCTGCTGCACATCTCGGTGAGCTACTGCCTACTGTTTTGCTGAGATCCAGATCGGCTTCTCTTTTTCGATTTTGAATATTTAGTGATTCAGTCATATTCTAGGGCATAGGAGCACATTGAACCGATATCATCATTTATGTTATTATTTGTTAATATATCTATTATATATGGCTAGTAGCATTTTTAGCCTTCTACTCCCTCCGTTCCATATTATAAGTCGCTTTGACATTTTTGGTACATCCATTTTACTATGTATCTAGACATATATTATATCCAGATGCATAGCAAAATAGATGTACCCAAAAAGTCAAAGCGACTTATAATTTGGAACAGAGGGAGTATTATTTAGGCCCCCTCTTGACCCGTTTCTGGACTCGCCACTGATTGTGTGCTCTGTTCACTTGTCTGCATGATAAATGAATTTTGAGACAAAAACAAGTGTTCAGTGCACGAGCTGTGTGAGGAATGTGTTAAACTCTTGGATATTTGCCGTCTATTTAGGGAATATAAATTTTGGCATAAAATTTTCATTTGGAAAATTCTAGTTGAGCAATAGATTTGGACACTAGTAAAAGTGGAATGGATTTGGCTCTGACTGGTTCATTATATATAATATAGTATGTGCATTCTGTTCTTCCCTTTATATAGTTCGGTTCCTGTATTCGGTGGTTTTGGAAACTATAATGCCTAAGTACATCAAGTTCTACTTATAATCTTTGTGTGGTTATATTGTTCAGTACAGTTACTATGCCTTATACCATTGATCCAGTGAACTAGTTGAATGCTGTTTATTTCCCTTTTTGTATACATCGAATATATGGTCTGTGTATTGGGTTGTTTCATAAATATGTAGCTAATAGTACTAGAATTTGATTGATATATGTGTTAAATTACTGTGTATCTAAAAGCATTCATCATTTTAAAACAGACAAGACCACAGCAGAACGAGAATGGATGTACACTAGCTTGTCTCATACATAGGCTCCCTCTAATGATTGGATAGAAAACGCTGGTTGGTTGATTTTGCAATTAGTTTGGTCACACATGGCTAGCGTACTCTCTCCTTAGAAAATTTGACAAGGAACATTGCAAAAGCCAAACTAGGCCAAACCCCAATCAGCTCTGTGCATTGAGGTTGACGGGTGAAAGAATAGCCATGGGCAGCATGGGCCTAACTTCTTTGATTGGTTCACAGAACTAATGTTTCTGCATACTCTTAATTTCACATTAACTTAATGTAGCAATCTGAATACTCCTAAAGTAACCTGTCATTACTACTATGAACTTCCAGTGCTTACAGATTTCTTGATAATGTGTTGCTTCAAATATCATTTGTTTTTTTTTTTGCAAAATGGTGACCAGCTATCGGGGTTATGATGTGAGTGGGTATAGATTTTGTTCAGAGGAGCATGAGAGAATGAAATCTAGGTTAACCATGGTTAATAGTGGTTTTTGTGTATCTTATATTGATGAAAATGACTTGAGTTTCCACTACAACCAGCTCCTTTCCACTGCCACAGCAACTTGAAGTCAGCATAGTATGAACTTGAAGTTTGAAATCTGAATGCGTCCATAAACACTACATTTATATCCATTATCATTTCTTCATGTGCAGGCAACTTGAAAAACAAGCAGGGTTGCATCCCGCAATGTCAGCTCCTAACAGTGATAGCAACATGCAGCAGCTAGTCCCTATAGCACCACCAGGAAAGGCTTCTGGTGGTGACAGTGGGAAGGAGCTGGTTGTGGTGGATCCTGCAGGTAAGAGTTCAGGAGGTGTAAAGCTGCGAGAGGACGAGGAGGACCTGGAGGTGAAGCTCAGGCGCATCATGGAGAATGTCCCTGTGCGTGTCAGTAACACATCAGGGTCCTCCGCTGGCTCTGGCTCCGGTGATTTCCACCAGGTACTCTCCTTCCCTCCCTTCTTATGTGTGTGGATACACCAGTGTGGACCTTCTGTTAAGATCTGGGTTTGATGAAAAATTTGCTTGTTTCGTTTGATTTTTTCGGTTGCTTAATCACCTCTTGCTTTGTAGAAGGTATGATGTGATTTATTTGTCAATTAACACCAGGATGAATTATATTGCTAGGAATGGAAAAATGTTGATATTATTTAACCCCCCCCTCCTCGTGGGCATTAAAAACTTACAGTTGTTAGTTTATGTTGTTGGGATATTGAAAAAAACTAATACTTCACATGGCTATACTGTATACTCACATAACATGGCTTTACTTTTTTTTCCCCTGATTCTAAAGATTTTAGTTTGTCTAATTATATGGCTTAGAGAATGACGTATTTTGACTTAAATCATTGGATAAATCAATTGGGCCTTATAACGCTGATGAAAATTTGTTTCTGTTCTGTGAGAAACAACCAAGGTTGATTGGGAAAATGATTAAACGAAAGGCAAGGTGGGTACTTGTGGAAGTCGGTTTGCCTTTTTAAGTTTCAATATGTCAAAAATATCCACAATACTAGAATTTCACCTGGAAAAGATTTAATATTTTCAGGGTGCTATGTGCTTACAGCTATTTGCTGTAAATTTTGAACCTGAATAGAATTAATTAATGTTAGTGTCAAGGTAAACAGAAGACTGTACATCTACAATACCTCCTGGAAATGATTCTGTACTTCCACATGTGCTATGAGCATTAAGGGCATTTCCTGTGTTGTTCTAGGCCTTAGCCTTCAAACACTAGGCTGCTGCTCAAGCTACCGAAAGCACAATAAAAGCGAACGAAAGGGACAGAAAGGAACTCTTGCGGAGCGAAAAGCATATGTGTATCAATCAAGGAACCGAGGTTCCGTCCCCCTTTTTACAATGCTCCTGTGGAGCTCTATTTACACACGACCGTATCTTTCTACAAGGACCATAATGCCCTCCTAACTGCTACGATGCTCAAGCATATTCCCCTTCTCCGGAGGCGCCTTTGGTCCAGCCCGCACAAGGCCTCCCTCAGATAACGCCTCCCCCTCATAACAGGCGGGGCCCCCATGGAAGGCGCCCGCCGGGCCCTCCTGGCAAGATGATGGGCCATGAAGCGACGAAACACCTGCAAGCAATCGCACCACTGCACAACGATTAGCTACTGTCATGCCGAAAAGCTCCTCACGATTCCGTACTTTGCTGACGATCGCTCGCTGACGAAAGCTGCATACAACTTTCGCCCTCGGTTTCGTCATCGCGGCGCCTGGTTCCGGAAGACGAAACCGCTAACGGAAGGCTTCTATGTTTTCACCCTTGACCCTAGGGCGAAAACCACCAAAACCATTCGCCGACCGTTTCGTCAATGGACGATTCGGCCCATGAGGGCGAAACGCTGATCGGAAGCCTTGTCACCCTTCCGGCGCGAGCCGAGCGAAGCTGCCGCTGCCATTCGCCACCTATTTCGTCGATACACCTTTCGTCCCTGGGAGGCCGAAACGTTGGTCGATTGGTAGGAGAGGGAGAGGGCCCAGACCTTATGGCCTCCCCCAACATCCTGTATATTTGGGTCTTGAATAGAGTTAAGTTACAATAATTGACCTAACCAACTAATCGTTCATCTGGGCCTTCAAGTTGTTGTTTTCTCAGGAAAAAAATATAGCAATCTCCCTTGTTTGTATGTACTGTATGTCTGTTACATTGTGGTTACTATTTACTATAAGCTGCAGAAATATTTACTAATTTTAGTATGGTTTTGCTGTTATAGCTCCAAAAATATATGCTTTGAACTCGCTTTTGTACAGAAAGGACTAAATGCTTCTGATCCATTGAAGCTTAAATGTTCTAGTCATAACTGATGTTGTATTTAACTTTACTTCGAGCAAAAATATTCTGTCAAAATGGGAACCCTTGCTGTTCACAATTAGCTGCACATGTTCTCTTTTCTTTTCCCTTGAAAACAGGGATTTGCGCTTTCATTTCATAAGACGAGATAGCTGCATATGTTGGTGGTTAAAGTAGCACAGATTATCTGTTTGATATATGTCTTTCAAAAGAAGGGCCCTGATGATTCTTGAATCACAGTAGTTTTTTTTTTGTCTACAGTACAAAAGTCTACTAAAAAATAATATTTAGCTAATATTACAAGCAATGGTCCATGTAGAGTATGTGTCAATTCTCAGTTCACATGATTGTCGTAATGTGACTAGACTACTTAATCTATCCATTGAATGCAAACATGCTATTGCATGAGGTTTTGATCAAGCATCTGTTGTCAGCTTTATTCAACATGAAACCTTGGCATCTTCCATATATGAGTGTACTCGTTGGTTGGTAGCTGCCAGTATTTTAGATAGGCACTCCCTCAAATTATAGTTCACATTGGTTTAGAAAAATATATTAACATCTACAAGTTCAAATAAATGCACTATCAAAACAGATTTCATGAAGAATTTAATGAAACTAATTTGATGATATTGGTGCATTTTAGTATAAATTTGGTCAAAGAAAGAGAAATTTGACTTAGGAAAAGCCAAAGTGAACTATAATTTAGAACAGAGGGAGTAGTTGAGATCAAATGTGCAGTAAGTGAGCATATATTCTGATGTTCAACCTTGTGTTACCAATATGGATCTGGATGGGCCCTAACCCAAGCAGCAAAACGCCAACCAACCGGTAGGTGGCGGCCAGATCACAAGGGAAGGGATAGAAGGGAACTGCCCCTAATAGATTGATATTATTGTTGCTTGATTAGATTGATATTTGATACATCTCCTCTCCTTATATTAGAGAGGTTTACTTAACCCCTAAGCAACAGACCCTTATCTTTAATTAACCCTAATGACCCTCTCATACTACCGACCCAGTCCGTAAGACCTAGCTGACTGCCCATGGCACCTTTGTAGTCAAAATTCTTATTTACTTCAATAAAAATAAATTTTTCGTCATCGAATACCTGCATATGTATTTTACCGTTGAGGTAAAGTTTTATTGTGATTATGTGTTGTTGAATTGAATTTCAAGTAATATAGTACAAACTTTGTAATACTTTCTCTGGTCTAGTCGATAGACTATAATTTGTTTAAGACATATGGACACTGTCCACAATGTGGACACTTTGACTAGCAATTTCTAAAAGTATGGTATTTTGGACAAAAAGAATTCAATAGTATGGAAGCACTTTCGTGATGGATATAGTAACATCAATCTTATGTTACTGATGGATGTGTATCTTGTTTTATACATTAATGGTCACAGGTAAAAAGACTTAATCAACAGGAATTCTAAAACAACTTTTCTGTTAGATGCTGAATAACGTCATGGTCATATTCATATGCTGAATAGTGTAATGGTCATATTGGCCATATGCTGAATAATGTCATGGTCATGTTGGTATATGCTGTTATAATCATATACTTAAGTTATGTATCAGGATATGTGATTGGCAAGTCATGAAACTTACGGCCATGTCATACCTTTAAAATTTCTGTACACATGTATTCTAAACAATCTTGTTTATTGAATCTTGGAATATGATTCTAGATTGATTTTCCAATTTAACAAATTACGCATTTAGTGTTTTGGGGCATGAGAATTAGTATGAAAATATCCTGATCTGTGACTATGTAAGCACTCTTCGTTTTACAGTATCGTCAAATGAGGAGGAGAGAGCAGGACCGGCTAGCTCGAATGGATGCTGACTACCAGAAGAGAAAAGAAATGGCTGAGTTTGAACTGCGGAGGGAGGAGAGGATGAAAGCTGCCGAGGAGCGGACAGCCAAGAAGCGCCTGAAACGGCAAAAGAAGAAGCAGCGTAAGAAAGAGAAGCGAGCTAAAACTGGTAATAATGGTGGTGAAGAACCTAACAGAGTGGAGTCGTCTGATGATGATGAAGGTTCAGATGACGATGACAAGTCCAAGCAATGACACGCCAATTTGCATCTGAAGATGATTTCTGACTCTGGTTGTCTGGGCAATGAACTAACGCCTGTATGGCTGTTGTAACAGGCCGAATCTGGTGCTGTATCTGTATGAGGATGTGTCATTTTGAGTCGAGATGGAGAGCACTAGATAATTTCCTGTTAGTGTTCATCATTCAGAGAATTGCACTAGATTAGTACTTGTTACACTTAGGTTTGCACTAACCTGTAGATCGAGGATGCCCAGAGGGCCGCTGAAGTCTTCGTGCTTGCGTGATGCAGGGATAGTGTAGATATGTGACGAGGACGCCAGCACAGGGGTGACCGGTGGACACCGTGGCCGCCCCTTCTCTTATAGCTCGGGCACCCTAGGACCAGGTCAGTAACCGTTGAGTCTATTGAGCCCATCGGATATGGACCGTTAGTGGGCCATTAAGCCCTTAATAACTCGGTCAGTCATTGACTAAGTCGAGATCATTCTAACGTTCTTCCCCTTAATTGAATGACTTAGTAATTTTATTATTAGTCTTATTAGAACAGTATATAAGATGAAAAAATTGTAACAACCAGTTAAGTACCATTAGATAAGTATCTATAGTAGACCACTTTATGTTAAATAGAACAATTACTTATACTTATTAGAGAGAGCCTATGGGGAGATAACGATATGTATTTTAAAATCAATCCTCAATAAACAATACACCAAGATGAAACTATTGCAACAATTAATTAAGCACTAATAAACCCAATCACTATAGTGCACCCTCTATATATCAGAATAGTTCATTCATGGTCTTATAATGACCTTTTTACAGTCTAATTATGCAGTTCTTTTTTATTTATATTTTTGTGCACATTCAAAAAAATTATCTGTACTTCCAGAATCATAATTTTGAGATCTCAATAATCTTATCTCATATGGTAGGCTACCATTAAACTTTATGTCAGCAACTTAAGGTAGTCCTATGGTGGGAATAATTTAAACTAAAAATGGTGAAGCGAGTGTTACGCTAGCCTACTAAAAGAGTAAACCACCTACCACAATTCTAGTGACTATGATCATTAAGCACACAATTTGCTAAGTCACTATACTAAATTAGTGAGCTCTCAAAGGCTAACTAAAGAGCCTCACTAACCACTAGACTCTACGTAAGCCAGCTCTCAAAACTAATTACACTAAAGAGCTTAGCTTACACACTAGGAACGTAATACAAGAGAGGATGGCGATGATTATACCGACGTGTCGAGGTATGAGCCAATCACAAGATGGAGCCAATCAATCAATCACAAGATAACCAATGAAATCCTCGCATAAGGTGACACAAGATTTTTTACCGAGGTTCACTTGCTTGCTGGCAAGCTAGTCCTCGTTGTGGCGATTCACTCACTTGGAGGTTCACGCGCTAATTGGCATCACACACCAAACCCTCGATAGGGTGCCGCACAACCAACACAAGATGAGGATCACACAAGCCACGAGCAATCCACTAGAGTACCTTTTGGCTCTCCGTCGGGGAAATGTCAAGAACCCCTCACAATCACCATGATCGGAGCCGGAGACAAGCACCTTCCTCCGCTCGACGATCCTCGCTGCTCCAAGCCGTCTAGGTGGCGGCAACCACCAAGAGTAACAAGCGAATCCGGCAATGAAACATGAACACCAAGTGCCTCTAGATGCAATCACTCAAGCAATGCACTTGGATTTACTTCCAATCTCACAAAAATGATGAATCAATGATGGAGAAGAGTGGGAGGGCTTTGGCTAAGCTTACAAAGTTGCTATATCAATGCAAATATCTAAGAGAGTGAGCTAGAGCTGGCCAAGAGGCTTAAATAAAGGCTCACATGAAATAGAGCTGTTGGTCCCCTGTACCTCATTGTCAACAGGGTGACCGGACACGCCGATCAAGAAGACCGAACACGCGGCACCCCAGCGTCCGGTTGTGGATTACCATCCACGTGTCCCCGTTTAAACCACAGTCGCCCGATCTCCAACAATCGAAATCACCCACACGATTACTTAAGTGATGACCGGACGCACGGTCACAAGGATCGGACGCGCCAATCATGTCAGTTCAACAGAACCACGCGCGCCATCAACACATGACCGGACGCGTTGATCAACTCGGCCTCCTAGCATCAGGTCATTTCCAGAGAGCTCCCCGAGCGGTAAAACATCGACCGAACGTGTTAGGTGGACGCGATCGAATGCGTCACCGTGTTAGATCATTGCTGCGCTCGCCAAACCGCTTACATCATCTATCGTCAGCACTAACCGGATGCACAAGCATCGAGTCAGGTCACTTTTTGCCTCGGTGTCCGGTCAAGCACCGAGCGTGCCACCAAGTTTTATAATTGACCGGACGCTGCACCTCCGACTCCGGTCACCACGTGACCTGCGTTCGGTCACTGTTTTTCAGTGAAAATCACCTCCTTCACTTCACTAACTTCTCCACCCTTGCTCAAATGTGCCAACCACCAAGTGTATCACCTTGTGCACGTGTGCTAGCATATTTTCACAAACATTTTCAAGGGTGTTAGCACTCACTAGAATCTAAATGCATATGCAATGAGTTAGAACATCTGGGACACTTTGATAACCGCATTTCGATAGGAGTTTCACCCCTCTTAATAGTACGGCTATCAATCCTAAATGTGATCATACTCGCTAAGTGTCTCGATCACCAAACCAAAAAGCTCCTATGGATATCACCTTTGCCTTGAGCTTTTTGTTTTTCTCTTTCTTCTTTTCCAAGTCCAAGCACTTAATCATCATCATGGTCACACCATCATCATGATCTTCACCATTGCTCCACCACTTGGAATAGTGCTACCTATCTCATAATAACTTTGATAAACTAGGTTAGCACTTAGAGTTTCATCAATTCACCAAAACCAAACTAGAGCTTTCACTTACTTAATGAGCACCAACATTTTAAACTTATATGATTAACTTTGATTCTGGGTTGGTGTTTCACATTGTCTTCGGTGTGGCAAAACCTCTTGATATGTTATTCGAACCAAAAGAACTGCACTTCTTATACAGCATATTCCGAGATGTATATCTTATGCTAAAGAGTAACTTATAATAATAATAATTTAATTATTAAGATAAGTTAAACTTAACTTATATTAATTAAACATGCTATAGTTTAGTTTGTATCACTAACCATACTTTTAAGCTAGGATGAAGTCATTCCATAATATGGCTCCTGTTGGCAAAAGTGATCATAAAGACTTATGTGGATTTCTTAATATCAACGCTTTTTGCAAAAGAAGATTAATGTCATAGCAACCTATAACTTAGTGGTTACTAGACTTCTTATTCATGAGCATGTAATACTTTATATGCATAACAAGAAGCTTACTTTATAACTTTCTAGGGGTCCATTCCTGGACTATGTTTCCCAATCTCCTGGTCATAAGCTTTAAGGGCGTGTAATAACTTAGTCATAATACTTGTAGCTTAATTATAATGCTTATGGCTTAGTTATAATACTTATATATAATGCTTATGTCAGCATATATCTAACGAGGAAAGCTTATCGACCTTAGATTGGAGTATGACTAATCTTTCAACTAATGAAATAATTTCAAATACTCTCTTTTCTATATCTTGGTGAATCTTAGTATTCAAATAAGTATAAGAAACATCACCAAGGCAAACTTTGGAATACCAAAGACAAAAGAAACAACTTCAGCTCTTATATGTAAAATATCTCTATTGCTTGCTTAGAGTCAACAAGATAAAATAAAATAATTAACTTTGTAACTCTTATCTTATTGTGATTATGAAATCAATGGCAAACAAGAACCACTGATGATCTTCTTAGTTTATCATGGAGATCTTATTATCATTTTCCTTTAGAGCCATGTCAGGTTATGTGGACCCATAATAGCCCACTGTTTTGACTCCATCATGTTTTTATTATTATCTTCAAAATGGATGGATGCTAAAAGAGATGAACTTATCATTAACTTATTGACTTAACATTTTCATCCCATCACATCAAACTTAAAAAATCACTTAATGAAGTGGATTAATGTAAAATTACATCTCTCCCCCTCAAAATATGAACCAAAACAACAGTGTCACATTTCAAAGTGTATATAAAATCCACTTCATGAGGTTACTTTAACTATAGGTTATCTTAGTTTTTACTATGCACATTTCTTATAAACTTAATCTTAGCACACCTTTTAATCAATATCAGTCAAATTTAATGTAATTGAATAGAAGAATTGCTCCCCCTCATCCTTACTGACATGATTATTAGAGTTATGATCTTTTGTTTTGCTCCCAAAGTTACTTAATAAAACTTTTATAATGGGAACTTACACTTTGCTAATGGGAGCTTACTTCTATGTGCATAATGTTTATACATAACCTCAAAACAACAAGCTCACTTTATACTTTGTCAGGGAATAATAAAACAACTCAAACTTATGGTTGTACTTAACAACAGAGATACATAATCTTAAATACAGAAGAACTGTAAATAAATTAAACGTTCAACATGGTATTAATCCTACGCTGATCAGATCAATAACATGTCAACAATATGAACAAAAAGAAACAATAGGCTTAAGAGAGATGACACAAGAATATTGTCAATGTTGGTCAGAATGTATTCCTATGCCATGTCTTATTCCCAAAAATGGTATTAAGTCTCCAACCAAGATTTCTTGTTGGTTCCATCTTAACTAGAGACAACTTTCTCTAACCAAAACTTATTGTTGGTTCCATTTTGATTAAAGATGAGCAACTTAATGACCATGAAGGTAAATGCTTGAGCCTTTGCAACTTAAGCAACTTAAGATTAATTAAATGACACATGACTATAAACAACGTTGGTCAATATATAGCCACAAGCCATGAAACCAATCGTATTGAACTTATTAAGTCTCTAGCAAAAAATAACTTAACGGAGAATAAGGTTACCATATGATCATTGTATACTTAATTACGGAAGCGTAAATAAGTTAGCTTAATTTAATAATGGGGCT